CATCATAGAACTACTTTCTGAAACCATAAGAATTGTTAAGCAGCCACGGACAAGACTAAAATTTTCTTATTTCATCTAACCTAAACTCAGTGTCTGCAAACGAGCAAAAAATCGGGGATTTTTGAATTGATCTACAGCGCAAAACTAAAACGACAGACAACTCTGACAGCCAAATTGCAGTCTACTATCATCCATGTAACCAAAACACTAATAATCATTTTGGGTCATTGAAACAGAAAGAAATCAGAAAACTCACATTTGTTATAGTTTCCAAGCTTCTTCTTGCAAACAGGCCGATCCCTTCGTGTTTGTTTTAACTCCTCTTCGTGAATTTTCTTTCATATTTCGCTGTAAAGTATGTTCAGCAGCTGGAGGAAATATCAAAAAGCTCGAAATACTGCTTAGGTTACATTTTGAAAGGGTAAAAGGTGCTGAACGATAGGATGAAACTAGAAAATAACAAAGCGACGCCATCTTGAAACTTCAGCACTCAGGAGGGACTGGCACTAGTAGCTGCGTTCGATATCTAAACATATGGACAAAAATTGCAAATTTTCCACGAGCACATAGAAACCAAACCTAATATAGAAATGTAACCAGAAAGCCACGGATTCATGTTAGAATTTTTCTTTATCGAACTTGGGGTATTACGAACTATTACCAGGAGCCTATGGGCTCCTGATTACCAATAAGATAAAAACAAAAACAAACAAACAAACAAACAAACCAGCTTATCAGCGACCTACTCCAGTCTTATTTCTTCTCCAGTCTTATTTCTTCTTTAGTTGAATTTAGCTTGTTTTTCTTTCAAAGGAAAAAGCAAGAACGCCTGATCGCAGGTTAATTGGTGATTAACTGGCATTGCTTCATTCCCTCCTCATTTCGAGGTGTCCCGTGAATGTAGATAATTTATGAATCACTGAATCACTTAACTTCGCTCTCATGCGAGCTAGCTAGACTTGCTATATATCAAACTCTCGAGTTTCGAAGCGTGCGGGCTAACTGCGGGCAGTGGATATTGCTTGCTGTAAAATTTGCAATAATTTTTATTACCAACTGTTTATTAAAATAAACATAGTACATGCAGTTGAATCAGTGTGTGGAGCGGGCATTTTAGGCCGCAAAGCGGCCAAGAGAGCCAGCGGACGAAGTACTTTTTTGAAAGTAAGCCTTCTAACTGATGATCTCATCGCTGTCACTTCGTATTTCCATAAGGTAATAGACCTTCGAATGTTGACAAGAGCTGTCAAAATAAGCCATTCATAGCGTTTACCAATAGTATCTGGTTTACCGGAAGGATCCGGAAGGAGCTTTTGTTAAAAAGTACCATTAAAGGAGTTCTTACGACTCTCACTCTGTACCCCTTCCACTCCTTGTTTCTTGTGCCGTCACTTCTTTTTCAGAATGCTCTTTGCACGGTCCACACAAGATAAACGCCACCTTTAGAGGGAACGCGCAAATTCTCTTACAGATTACAGTCCTGTTTGCAGCTCAAAAACTTTACGGTTCCGCGGGTCGCATGTAAAGAAAAGGCGGATCCGTGCAAGTTTTTGGCCGTTCAAAAGTTTGTAAAAGGGGTCCGAGTGCTAACTCGAGTTGGTACCTTTTCCATCATATTGATCATTGATAGAAGTCGCACACCTGGAAGTTTGCAGCCACTAGGTTCCTTTTTGTTTACTGGTGTAGCTGTGAAAAAATTGATATCTCCTACATCTCTTCGTCACTGGATTTGTCAAAAACACTCTCACTACGGTGTTTAACAAAGCAGTCCTCACATTTAGAGAAATTGTCAAGGTCTTGCCTTAAATTCAGAGGAGGCAATAATGACAGAAATGGAATTTATTCATCTCCTAAGGAGGTAATTTCCAACGCCATTTCGTTCGTTAATCTTTTCCACGGCGCTGTTGCAAAAAATGCGCGCGCGAGTCATACAAGATGGCACAAAATGTGCTAAAACTAGCACATTTAATGGCTATGATATATATTTCAGGTGTACCTAACGACAATTTTCGGAAAATATCTGTTCGGAAGACGATTTGCGATCTAGAATTTTCGGAACATTTGTTGTAAAGTTTCCTGCTTGTCTGCCTCTCCTAGGATTTTCGAACATCTAAAAAATGGTATAATTGCCTATTTTTAACGGATTTTTACCCTTCAAAGGTCACCTAGAATTTTGCGTGAGCCTTTGTTCTGGCTGAAATTTTCGAAAAGGTAAGTTTTGATCCCTATAATTTACTAAAATACGTTTAACAATGCTATGTTTAAGTGGTTTTGAACTATCTTCTCGTTGGGTGCCTCTGATATTTCGATGAAGTCAACCCCATCAGCCCTGAAAAAGGTACCCAGTTACCTGGATACCTTTACGGTTACGGTCTACTACCCCGATTTAGACATATATGGCTCCTGGTAGAGTATAAAAACGTAATTTTGTGCAATTTCGCAGCGTAATTAGCGTTGCTAGATAACTCTGTCCGCCACCAGGAGCCGGTAAACCACAATTAAAACCAAAAATGTGTGAGTAAAGACTACACATCAATATTCATATTAATCTTGTAAAAATTCTAGTATGAGCCATTAAAATTGTTCAATGACATTCTTCACCTCAGACACTAGTGTCAGTCAAGTGTGAATCGAAGTCCCCCATTTTGACTTTTTGTTCCAAAAAACCTCTGACCTAGCAGCCCGGCTGCATCTTGCGCTCATCACCCGCCCCCAAGGGGTGAGGATCTGGCCCCTTTTTCATAGGAAATTCATAAATTGTCTACTAAAACACTGTGCAATATGGAAGCAAGGCCAATTTAAGCACTAAGAGCTGCTCAGATATCTCAGAATTGGAAAAAAACTAGTGAGAGTAATTGCTCAGAAATTATACAAAAAGTTGCTTGAAACGAAACAATTCAAGTCGCTCGAAATACTAGAAGTTGCAAAAAAGTTGCCGAGCAACTTGTGGAAAGCCCTAGGGAGAAGGGCGAGGCGGGGGGGTGGGGGGGGGTGGGAGGATTCTCAGTGATGGTTGCCTCGGAGAGGCTTCGCCCCAAGGTCCTTACCCTTATATATACTATTTTTGACAAAAGGTACCCCCTTTCGTTTATCTACCATTGTAAAGTTGTACCCTTCGTAAGAATAAATCGGTAAGAAAGGAGGTCTTCGGGCCATTTTCGTGTAACCTTTAACTGAATTAACATGTAAATGATATTGCCATAAGGCGTGTTTCTTCGAAGCATTTTAATAATAGGTCCTTTAAAATACTTAATGAAAGATGTTCCTCTCCTTTCACATACTTCAACGTGTGATTTTCGTACCCTTTGTTACACCTGATGCTTGAAAGAGGTACCCTTCGGGCGAAGCCTTCCGGACTATGAAAAGTGCATCATGAAATCGGGAACAGGAGATGAGTGGACCTTCGGACATGGACGGTGATTGAAGACTCACGCAAAAATAGATGATACAATAAAGGCGGTGCCTCGCATGGGACGTTAGTCCCGTTGCACCTACCCCCTTTGGGTTTTTGCTTCTAAATTCCTTTTCTTTTCTTTTTTTTGTGTGTGTTGTATTATAAATTTATATTGTATATTACAGGAGTACCCAATAAAGCTGTGGGAAAAAAAAGATTCCAAAGAAAGCCTTATACGGGGTAACTCAAAATGAAGTGAATGAAGAGTAAATGAAGACTGAATAAAGTAATGGCAATTGGTCACCTGTTCACCACACCCTATCACTCCGCCAAAAAAAAAAACGACAACACAAAACAAGCTAAATGTAACTAAGAGTAGTGATTGAAGAAGAAATAGGACTGTAGTAGGTAACTGAAAAGCCGGTTTGTTTGTTTGTTTTTGTTTTTTACCTATTTGGTAATTCATCGAGGACAAGGCAGCTACTAGTGCCAGTCCCTCCTGAGTGCTGAATTTTCAAGATGGCGTCGCTTTGTTATTTTCTAGTTTCATCCCGTTGTTCAGTACTTTTTGCCCTTTGAACATGTAACCTAAGCAGTATTTCGAGCTTTTTGATATGTTCTCCAGCTGCTGAACATACTTTACAGCGAAATATGAAAGAAAATTCACGAAGAGGACTTAAAACAAACACGAAGGGATCGGCCTGTTTGCAAGAAAAAGCTTGGAAACTATAACAAATGTGAGTTTTCTAATTTCTTTCTGTTTCAATGGCCCAAAATGATTATTAGTGTTTTGGTTACATGGATGATAGTAGACTGCAATTTGGCTGTCAGAGTTGTTCTGTCGTTTTAGTTGTGCGCTATAGATCAATTCAAAAATGCCCGATTTTTTGCTCGTTTGCAGACACTGAATTTAGGTCAGATAAAATAAGAAAATTTTAGTCTTGTCCGTGGCTGCTTAACAATTCTTATGGTTTCAGAAAGTAGTTCTGTAATGTATTGTATCGCATGCAAAAAATAAACTTCGCTCGTTAAATTTTGAGGGTTCTGTGAGTTTCAGAAAATGGTGAAAATTTGCTTGTAAAAATGGCGTTCGAGGGGGTCGAATAAAGTGATGCTCGTATCTCGAATACAAGAGCAGTGAAGAACCTATGTTTATTATATTTGTCCATTACTGCACCTAACCTATCTATGATGTTAGTATGAACTTATTCTGTTGACCCCCTTCCGTTGACATTTTTAACATTTCGCCCGGTTTTCTCTGACAACCACTCTTAATAGAGCTCACCTGGTAACACTGTTCTTGTGTTGTTGTGGTGTCTGTGACTAAAATTATTGTATCCAAATACTAATTTGTAAGCGTGACATCAATTTTGGCTGTTCTCCGCAGTGACGAAAACAGTTTAATCTACCAGGGTATCATCTAACTCCAAATCATCCAAGCCCAGGTAAATACAGATGTTCCTTGTGAGAAACTAGTGAATAAAGTTCATCAGGAATGTCAACATCACCAAACAATTCATTAACTATTTCGAGCATAATAACAGCAGTCTTTAAAGAAGGTACATTAATTGCAGTGATCAATGACATCATAAACATTAGAAATGTT